AAAAAAAAAAAAAAAAAACATACGAAAAAAAAAGAAAAAGAAAAAAAGAGAGAAAAAAAAAAACAAATCTAACTGTCCTCTTACCCATTGGGAACCATTCATCTCCTTTCCCCTCCTCATGTCAGACAAATACACTTGCTTCTGTCTGTGTAATCACAATGAATGGGCACACAATTCCAGTGTGCCTCTGCCACTGTTGCACAAACGTGTTGACTGAACAAAGTCAAAAGGAGCATGAAAGGGGTTCCTTTTAGCTGAACAAATAAGTGCTCTCCTTACAAGGTGGGATCGGACAGTTAAAAAATAAAAAGAAATATATAACAAACTGTTGCTCCAATACCCGTTTTGAAAAGTCCAGTCCTTTCTCACTGGTCAGTTGAACAGGAGCAGCCTTTTTTAAATGTGCTATGTAAAACCAGTTATGCTCAGCAAGTTGAATAGTTGGGAAGCCTTCATATTGGAGGTGAAGGATTGGCATTCATTGTGAATTACGTTTTGAGTTCTCCTGCTCCACATAACCAGCAGCTTTCTACAGGGAATGGGAGCAAAGAGCTTCCAAATTCCAAGTCTTTTTGTCTCAACAAAATTACGCTACAAACCTTTGAGCATCTTCAATACAAAGTATCTTTTTGATTTTTATCCATTGTTTTTCTAATATCTATATGTTGTTGAAAGTTACTCTAGTTATTAAGGGTGCACAAGAATGTGTTAGCACAGATAAAGAAACTATTTTGTTTTAAGTATATAGGACAAACCATTTTCATAAATGTGCAATAAAACAGTAAAGATATACTAGGATACGAGTAGTCAAGAGAAAAGATTGTAATCTGATTGCTGTTTTTTCATTGTTTGGGGTATCTTATAATTTATTTACTTTTATTTTTGTGGGAACATTTCACCTGCTGAGTGTATGAGAATTTGCTTTTTAAAAAGGCTTTTTAGAGTTTACAGTAGAATCAATGGAAGGAAAAGTTAATAAGGGCTGTTTTTAAAAACTTTACATTCCTTCCTATTCTCTAACTACACTTGGGAAGTGCACTTTAGAGATGTTTGCTGTGTAGCTGGGAGATGAAGGAAGACTATAGGAAATGTTCTCTTAGGAAATAAATTATAGTTATCTACTTTCTAGCTATGAAGTACCCCTTGATAAATATTAATGTTGTAAGAGCATTTAATCACTGGTGCATAATGTGTTTTTGTAAACATTTTATGGTCTGTTAAATTCTGGAGAAAAAAAAAGAGATGAAATCCATGCTGTTTAAGCAAGTCAAGATGCATACACTAAGTTGCAAAGGCTCAAATATTTTGCAAGAATATTTGTTTTGATAGTGTTTTACTACAACACACACTGAGGAGCCTAAAATGTGCATATTTGTGAAAATATGACAACAGAAAGCACCAGCTAATGCAAAAGTATTCAGCACTGGTTTCTTTCTATATCTTCTCCCTTCCCTTCCTTACACATGCTATATTTTGTTCAATAAAACACAGTGCTTTTTAGTTATTTCAGTTTCTGTTAGAGGCACATGTATTTATTATATTGAATTAATGCAAAAAGAGAGAAAAATGCAGAAATGTAAGTGAAAAAGCCTTAAATAATGGTAGAATGTAGACTTTTGAAAGGATAGAGATGTAATTGAAAAGTGATGGAGCAATAACTGGGCAGTGTTCTGGTACTGTACAACTGCTGATGAGTCACACTACTGAGAAAGCTCTTACTAGGTGAGCTCTTGTTCAACTGACCTCTTAATTCAAGTGTACACGGTCAGTAAACAGTTTGTTATAACCTTTATCTACCTCTGCTGTGCAAAGGCCATCCAGCATCCATTTCTGTGATGTTCCTCTCATACTTTTTTTTTTTTTGTTCATGCCATTACTCACTGTCATCTTTTTTCGCACTGTACCAGTATACTAGCAAGTCTGGATCATCCCAATTTAACTGGCACATGAGGAAGAGTTATTATTTCTTTATTTCTGTTTTGCCTCATGATGGATTAATGTAGAGTTATTTTTAAGGCATTTTCTTTCCTCTTCCTGCTCTTCTTCATCCTTCATCCCTTATTTTTTCTATAAAAATGTTTTCAAGTGGTATCAGTGAAAAATATGACTACTTCGCCGCTTGGCTACACTCAGTCATGTGTCATACAAGTGAAAACAGTGACAACATTATTACATTCATAAAGTAGCCAATTTAGAGTTGAGCAAGGGAAAAAACACAGGAAGTAATTTCGGACTTCCAATTATTACATATAATATGTAATAAGCTCCTCCCCCTCTCCCCATCTGGAGTCAGTGCCTGCATTTCAATGGTCTGTAAATTTTCTCTGTCATCTTTCTGAAGTTTGTTTCTTTAATTTTTGAAACAAAGAGTCATATTGCAGAGGTGACTTGCTGGGGTTTATGTTGTCATTTTCACTCCAGCGGTGCGGTATACAGCTTCTCTTGGTGGCACCTGGGACATCAGGAGTATACAAAGACTCTTCTATGAAGTTAAGCAACATGTAATCATGTATGATGCAGAATTTCATTCCATCCATTCCTCATTCGTACTAGTTTCCCTGGCACAATCTTAAGCATGCTCAATATTGTGCACATATTACTTTTTTTTCCAGAATAAATTTGCATCTTGCCACTGCTATAACTGCCATCTTGTTCCATTTCTCCTTGTACTGTATGCCTAATACATACATGATAAAGAACTGGCTTAACAAGCAAGTAATGCTAAAATATTTCTGCAAATGATTGATGAGAAGAAAAAGAAAAAATATAGAATAATATTTATTTTATAATCATATGGAGAAGATATATTTCCCATGTATTTTATCATCTTATTTTCTGCAATAGGGAAAATCCAGATTCTGTGCAATATGTTAATACTGCTAAGCCAAATGTCATATAACATAACCAGAGCTATATGTTATTCCTTATTGCATTTGCATTTGGTAATACATTATACTGACATTTTTCTTTCATTAAGGAGACAGTATTTTTTTTTTCTTTTTTTTTTCTTTTTTTTTTTTTTTTTTAAATATAGCAGATGAAGGCTGTCCTTCTGCACACCGTATTTTAAAGACAAAAAGAAAAAGAATTATGATGATGTGTTAGTTCTATAAATGACAAAACCAAGCCATCAGCTGCCAAAGAATCTGTGGAACAGTAGATACAAACCAAACATAGGCTTTCAAGAAATTCTTTCTTGAGGGTTATAAAAATTTTTACTGTAAATGAGTAAAAGAGAAAGAATGAGAGCTGTGTATCAAATAGCAGAAATGGCAGGTTTCATCTGGTATGTGATGTGGCTCCTAGCTTACATAGTTATACTCTTCTATTAAAAAGTGAGGGATAAGGACATTGTCTTCTGCTCTCTCTGTATTTGTTATGATAATGTCCTTTTTATAAGCATTGCCTCCCCACACAGACAATATGCTAATCATGAGAGCTGAAGATATGTACACACACACAAATTTACACAATGAAACTTGTCTTAGGTGACTACTGAAAGCACAAGCAAAACTCATCTGCCAAGTAGAGGTAGCTTACATTGAAACTATTATATCATAGGGAATTTTAAGATACATTTGAAAAGTCACCTAAAGAAAAACATCTCTGAGGGGGCCTGGTTCTTACTGCAGTTTTTGCTTACGTGTCATTGGAGCCAAGGCTCTCTGATCTGCTTTGTGCTGGCAGGCTAGTAGCCAGACTCAGAGTTAAGATGGCTTCAGTGGGCCTATCTACAGGTACAAACCTGCACCATAAAAAAGTTCACTGTAGCACACAGGTCTACATTTGTTGTCCCATAGTTTTTGCTCAGGAATTGTTCACAGACATAGTGCACCAAAAAGGGATCACTGGGTTCAGCCCTATCATAGTCTGGATAAGAGACTGGCAATCATACATTGGGAATGGTTCTGACACATTATCACTGTCTTCATTGTCTACTGTTTTATTAGTTTTGTGAATGGGAGGCTTCAAAATTTTGCTGGGAATACATAGGACAAGCTAACAAATCTCATCAATGCAAAATTAAATAACCCTTCTGGGGTAAAGAGAGATTCCCTCATCTGTCAGCAGCAGGTCAGAAAACAACATTATTTTAGAAAAGTTTGCAAAAAATAAGAATTTCAGCTCTGAGTAAGATAGATTTCTTAAAAATTATATTTTTGGAGTCAAATAGAAATGTAGTGCATATCATATCAGATGAGATATTTAATTTCCCAACATATTCTCCAACAACTCTTAGCAATCATATTTACTGAACACTTCTAATTTTTCCAGCATTTTTTTGCAATCATTAACAAGCTCTATCTGTCCCTGGAGGGAGCAGAAAGGAGGGAGAATAACTGTGGGAGATTAAACTAAAAGAAAAAACAGAAATAGAGTTGGGCCAACTTGGAAAATCCATCTTCT